TTCCTATAATTCAAATTAACTTCAAATATAAAATTTTGTAGAAAATAAAAATTGATGTACCATGTTTAACATTTTTCAAAAGCTTAGGTGGGGGCGGCTGCCCTCCTTGTCCTACGCTAACTCCATCCCTAATCAACATTGTAATGTCGCTGCCACAAAACAACAAAAATGGTGTAGCAAGATGTTGTGTTTATGGACAAATGCAACAACAAAGTTGCTTCAAAGGAGGAAAGAAAAATGCAACAAACTAAGCTACATTATAGAAGAAAATGAAATGAAATACAAATGGAGGTTGCAAATTGGTCAATGAAAGTGTAGTAATGGGATAGTGTTTCAATGTACTTTTTTATGTTAGTTTATGTATTACAATCTTTGATTTAAATGTTAGAATAGATTTTGTAGGAAATATGTAGCCATAAATCGTGAAAGCACGTCGAGAATATTATTTTTATGTTGAAAGTTTTCTGGTATAAATGAGTAGAGATGTTAACAAAAATGTGAGAGAGTTGGAGAACAACTTCTCCTTTCCTCCCCAGTTGGGTGAATGTCTACACCGTTCCATGTTTATGTTCTATATCATGTTCTACGTTTTATTTTTCTCCTACTCTCCTCAAAGTGCTCTCTATCTACCCATTTTTTCCAAAAATTCCAACAATCTCCCAGTGGCTTCACTAGACTTAATTCAAGTAAGTAGTGGTGATTTCCATCTAATCTATTCAATTTTTCAATCCTTTAAATGATGCATGTTGCTAAGATTGGCACAAATGCCATGGTGAGTCATCTACTTATATTAGACCATAAACAACTAATTAGGATTAATGAAAAAAAAAACCCTAATTAACAACATTTCTATGAATACCATTTGAGAGACATTGAATTTTGCAAATTGCAACATCTTTTGAGATTCTATTGTTCTTTATTAGCAATTCAAGAATGGTAGAATTATTTAGTTAATTAGAGCTTTGGAGGAGAGTTAAGTGAGATGCAATGCAAGTTATGAGTCACTTAAGGCCATTCTCATTGAATAACTAGGAAAATGGAATAGTTGAATTCAAAACTAAAACTCAATCTATACTATGACTACAAGTGATGCTTGCACACTAGCAACAATGGATAAGATCATTCTCATTGTTTTCTTTTCTTTTTCTTTTTTTTTTTTTAAGCCAACATACATCAGAGGACATTTCTCACAAGTTGTAGCAGAAACATTTTGTATGAGAAAGTTTGTGCATTCTATCAAGTCTTTGTCTATCTTAAAGTTAACACCAAGTGCAAACAAGTAGTTTGTTTATAGAATATAGGGCTAAAGACTTAGCCATGCAAGTTCTAAATATCCCATTGGCCAAAAGAGGCACTTAGCATATGTGACACTTCTTGACACTACTTCACATGGAGTGGTAAGTGGGACCAAGCATCAATGGCTTTAGTTGCTTAGGCAAATGCTTATGTACCAAGATCTAAATGAGGGTTTGGTATCAAGCAACTTATATGTTGGAATAAGGTGACATTATGTAAAAATGTCCAAGCTATATGTGCAAAACAATCAAGCTTATGGGTGCCAATGGCTCTACATGTTTGTTGAAAGAAGAGAATATTTGGAGAGCTAAGATTCCTACTAATTACTCATGGTCTCAAAGGCATATCTTGAAGGTGAGATCATTTATAAAGGATCAAATGTGGGTTTAGATTGGTGATGGATGACAAACTTCCCTTTTCTATGATTAGTAGATTAGGGAAAGCAAAATATGTGATTTAATGGTTTCAAAAGACTTACAAGATTTTACTGATTTGGACTTCATTGAAAACTCATAGAACTTTAATTGTGTTTTGTAGGGACTAAATTAAAATTGAGAAAAGAGAAAGGACCACATTATTAGACTCTCAAAAGTCATGTGTTTTGTGTCCATCTTTCCCCCTTGAAGCTTGAGGAGGGCTAAGTTCATCCCCAAACTCTACTTTACAAAGTGAATTCTCTCCAAATCCTTCAATTAACCATGTGGAAAGCTCAATTTGATGAAGGCTTCAAACCAATGGAGGCTCTATTCTCTGCTATGGGGCTAATTTTGTCGTGCTTGTATAAAAGCAAACTTAGAGAAACACGTCCTCTTCCCCATTGGTCCAACATTGAGTAAGGCTCAATCCCAAAGGTTGGATCCATTTGTAAGCCAATGTCATCTTGTAAGCCAAATTTAGTGTTAATGTCTTAGGTTTACCAAGTTGCATACATACCCTCACAAAAGAAGGATCAAGTCATAACGCAGTTCACCAAACTTGTCATCAACTTTGATTCGATTGAACTTGGAATTTGGTACCAAGCTACCTACGTACCTTTACATGAGAAGGATCAAGTAATAAAATAATTCAAACAATTTTCCTTTAACAATCAAGCATAATACCTCTTCAAGAATTTTGCATTTATAGGTCTAATTTGCAACCCATCTTAATCCACCATCTTATATGCTCCATTTGTATAAACCTCTTGAATCACATAAGGACCATCCCAATTGGAGATAAACTTGTTTACCATTTTATGTGAGACAATAGGCCTTTGCATAGCTAACACCATATCATCACCTTGAAATATTCAAGGCTTCACTTTTTTATTGAAAGCTTTTGAAAGCCTTGCTTGATAACACTAGACTTTGTTGTGCTTGAAGTCTTTTCTCATCCAAAGCTTCTGATTCTTCTAAACAAAGATGAACATTATCTTCTTGAGCTAAGCCTTCTTGTGCAGCAATTCTTAAGGACGAAATTTGGCACTCAAGTGGCTAGACTGATTCTGTCACGCCTCAAACCGAGAGCGAAACAGACGCCGTGCACTCGTGAGCGGGGCCCACAAATGCACAAGGCTCGAGACCTATTGAGTTCTTACTTAGCAATTCAGGTAATTCAAAT